CCTTCCCGGTGCACACAGCCTCCTGCTAGAAGGAGCGAGGAAGGGCCCTGGCTGACTTTGCGTGGATGATCTCCTTGCCCGGGGCTTTCCTGCCCCTCAGGGCCAGTGCATCAGCCTTGGGAAAGGGCTGGCAGCGCTCTGGGCATGGGAGGGTCGGGTTTTTTTTCCCCCGGCCCAGGACTGCAGCACTGTTGGCAGGGACAGGGGCACAGCGCGATGTGAGATCGGCATCTGTTAGGAAGTCCGGGGAAATGTGGGGCCACCCTACCGGAATCACCGCCACCCCACTTCAAAGAGCACCGGTGGCATCAGGCAGTGCAGGCGGCTCTGCTGCGGTCTGTGGTTAGTGCAGGCATGGGAAGAGCAGTGTGAGGAAGCCCTCACCTCGGAGCGTGGGTTAGCACACAGGTTAGCGCACACATGCTTGGAGAGGTGAGGCGGTGCTGGAGCGCTGGGGAGCAGCACGAATTCGCAGGTCTTGTTTCTTCCAGTGCTGGGAGCCTGGTGACGCCATAACATGCTTTGATAAGGAGTATGAACACAAGGGCGTGTGCTGCAAACGGTGTCAGCCAGGTACGGAGACCCCCTCCCCGTCCTTGGAGTGCTGGAGGCAGTGAATGGGCCCGCTGCTCTCCTGCCCCAGCAAGCAGCCCTCCTCTGGCATCCAGGGCTGCCGGTGCCCCCTGTCCTGCTGGCAGAGCTGCTGCCTGGAGAGGGGGAGAGCCCCCTCCCACCCTCCTCACCAGCCTCTGTTGTAGGGGAAAAGCTGGTCTCCGAATGCAATGCCACGAAAGTCTCTGTCTGCAACCACTGTGAGAGCGGACACTATCAGCAGGGCTGGACCAAGGAGAGGCACTGCACCCCCCACGATATCTGTGAGGACAGTAAGTGCTCCCTCTGCCCACTGGGCCCAGCCTGCGGGGGCTGGTGTCCCCTCAGGCTCACCAGCCTAGTGCTTTACCTTGCCCGTGCTCCCTTTGCCCAGACACTGGCCTCATCGTGAAGACGCACGGAAATGCAACGCACAACACGGTGTGCCAGTGCCGGGCTGGCATGCACTGCTCCGACACCAGCTGCCAGACCTGCGTGGAGAACCAGCCCTGCCAGCATGGCTTTGGCTTCGTGGCAGGTGAGTCCTGCCAGCTGCTCCCTCTCAGCGGGACCGATGCCCTGGCAGCATTGACCTGGGGTCCCCCAGGGAAAGGGGGACTCCCTCAGCAGGGCTTCAGGAGAGCTGTGCCTGCCGCTGCGCCTGGCAGCACTGCCACAGGGAGGGCTGCTTGCTTGATCCCCACAGCCCCTCGCCTCCCGCAGCCCGTGCTGACCTTCCTGCAACCTCTGCTCCTCTCCAGACAAGGCTGTCGCCCGGACATCGTCCCCCTGCGAGCCCTGCGCAGAAGGCACCTTCTCCAATGTCTCTTCTAAAACTGAGCCGTGCCGTCCCTGGACAAGGTATTGTCTGAGTGCTGACCACATCCTTCACCCATTCCGAGCTGTGCCCAGTCCCTGTGAGCATGTCCTCTGCTGCCAGCCTCCTTAGGGGCCTTGGGGACTGGGCAGCCGGGATGGTCTCTGAGGGACACAGCATCAGGCTGGCATAGGGCAGGAGCGAGAGGAGCAGGGCTGTGAGGGTGGTGAGGCCCAGGGCAGCGTGGCTGAGCTCGAGGCAGACATCCAGGCCCTGGGACTCCCTCAGCACGTGCACGGACTGCTGGCCCCTCCAGGGACACCCACGCTGTCAGCTGCAGTGGGGAGCGAGGGATGGGGGGCCATGGGGACCCCCCCATGCCCCATCCAGGCTCTCTATCCCAGCACGCTCCTTGGCCGTAGTCATCAGCCAAGGCACCAGCCTTCTCCATGGGGAGTCTGTCCTTGCGGATGCCATGGGCTGGCAGCTTTGTCCCTGTCTTTAGAAAGCTGCTTGAGGGTTAATTGCACTCCCTGGTAGAAACGTGAGCCTTATTTCCAGGCTGAATTAGTCTCGCTTCAGCTGCCAGCCATTGGATTTCACTTTGCTTTTATCTGTGCCCAGAAATTACCTCCCCATGGAGCCACTTGTCTGTCATCGAGTCATCTCCGAGCTGCTCTGCAATAGCTGCAGTGCCCAAACCCCAGGGTCTTCCTGACCGGGCAGGTCTCAAATACCTGCTCCCTCCTGTGCCTCGTCCCCAAACTGGTCCCCATCTCCAGCAGTTTCAGCAGCTCCAGACCAGGACCCCGGGGTGGGGCCCTGCTATATACCTGGTGTCCCTGTCACGCAGCACAGCCCCCAGTGTCGGCCGGGGGGCCGCTTGCCCCTCCAGAGCCCAGCAGGCTCAGCACGGGATGCTTTCTCGCACAGCTCTGGTGGCTGCCCAGCCCTGGCTGTTGCTCCTCGGAGGCTTTTTGTGTGCTCAGGCTGCTGCTGTGGTTACACGCTCTCATTCTTCCCTGCAGCTGTGAGGAAAAGGGGCTGGTGCTGAAGGTGAAAGGGACGAGCACCTCGGATGCGATCTGTGGTAAGTGCCTGCTGCCCCGGGCTGGGCTGGTGCAGAGCAGAGAGCTCCTGGTGCTCTGGCTCCCACAGCGCTTGGGGGAGCTGGCCTGGCCCGTAGGCGTTTTTGGGAGAAGCGAGTCTGACCGCTCTGCTGACAGGATCCTCCCTGTCCCTGCGAGGGATCCCTGCGAGACTGAGCCCGGAGCAGGGGCAGCTCGGGGTGCTCGGCGTCTCAGTGGGAGGGTCACGCGGGTGCCTCGCTGACCCCTTCTCCCTTGGCAGAGTCGGGCAGGCGCTCCTCGCTGTCAGTGCTGATCCCCATCACGGCCGCAGTCGTCACCTGCCTCGTGGGCATCTGCATCTACTGCCTGGTCCACACAGGTAAGGGGCTGGGAAGCGATGCCTTGCCCAGCGGGGCCATACAGGGCCGAGGAGCCAAGCCGGGAGGATGGCGGCAGCTTTGCCGAGGGCGGGGTGCCCTTCTTGGGCACTGCCAGGGCATGGTTCCCTGAGCCCGTTGCCCTGCCGGGTCGGTGGGCTCTGCCCGCGAGAGCAGGCACGTTTACCCTGCTGCAGCCCAAGCTGGGCCAGCTCTTGGAGGAAAGTGCTGGTGCCCTCTGTGTCCAGCCCAGCTCCCCTGCTGTGGCCCCCAGCCTCTCCAGCCTGGCAGCAGCAGGGACAGCGTGAGCTGCAGGACCCGCGGTGCCTCAGCACCCGCTCTGGCTCTGACCCCGGGGAGCTCAGCCCCCTGACTGTTGCCTTTCTGTCCCTCTTTCCATCCAGATGCCAGGCGACGGGCACGGAAGCAGGTGAGTCCGCCCAGAGCCCTCCTCCAGCAGAGGACTTGGGGCCCCTCCTGGGCACAGCCAGGGACGTGCCAGCAGCAGAGCGGGGGCTGTGGCTCGGCAGGGCAGGAGGGGTGGGGGGGCTGTGCTGGG